TATTTAACCACCAGTTTTGGGAGAATTTGCTCTCCTTTTTGAAGCTTGCCCTGAAGTTGGCATTTTCAGTGAGGGCTACCCCAGGCACCCTGTATCACAGCTAACATATACAATAGTGACAGAAATATGTAGACCAGGGGTTCTCAAACTTCATTACACGGCAACCCCCTTCTGACAACAAAAATGACTAGAAGACCCCAGGAAGGTGACTGAAGCCTGAGCTCCCCCGCTCTGGGGGGTTCCAAAGCTTGAGGATTTCTGCCCTCGGCGGTGGAGCTTGGACTTTGGCGTCAGCCCTGAGCCCCAGCAAGTTTAACGACAGCTCTGTTGACCCCATTAAAAAGGGGTTGCAACCCACTTTGGGGTCCTGACCCACAGTTTGAGAACCACTTAGTAGACTAATCTCCCACTGCTTTGATCTCTATGCCTCATATCTAATGGCAGCCCGGACTTCAATATTATTCTGAACATTAGCAAGTTTCCATTTGTTTCTCTAGACAACAGTGAAGACAGTCCTTGGTAAACATGCTTATCTAATGATGAAATATTCTTAGTGTGTAGAACCAGGAGTGATCACTTCCTTTTAATTTGTACAACCTGATGTAACCTGCATTACAGTACAATGTCTTAGTATAGTAATGGAAGATTTCTTTTATCTTCACTGGTTAGAAAGTAACAGCTTAGATATAGCGCACTTTAGAATTCCCAGGACCAGAATAGTGTTCTGTAAAAAAATCAGTAATGGCATACCTTTATAACAGATATATAGTAGCTTTTTGAACACACATTGTCACCTCAATATTACTACTAAAGAAGCAGAGTACAAATGGTTACACACAAAGGCAGTATAGTGTGGAACAGGTTGAAATCTTGCTTATGGAACAATAAGGAAGGTTTGCTGTTTTGTTCCCCAAACACGTGTTCACAATCATACCCAAAAGTGTATCTGTTCCTGTTGTGGGACTAATATAGCTCTATGTGACAAAGTATTAGATGACTGACCATCAACTTCCCACACAGCCACTGCTATTTGCCAGTCTCTTTCTTCGCACAAGACGTTAGCAACAAGTATACAAGATAGTTTCTAAAATCAATGGGATAAAAACTAGGTCTGTCAAATGATTTTAAAAAATGCAATGAATGAGATTAAAAAATAGTCATGATTAATCGCAGTTTTAATAACACTGTTAGCACTGTAAAAAAAAATAGTATTTTTCAATTCACCTCATATAAGTACTGTAGTGCAATCTCTATTGTGAAAGTGCAACTTACAAATGAAGAATTTTTTTTTATACCTAACTGCACTCAAAACCATAATAATGTAAAACTTTAGAGCCTACAAGTTGAAGCATGAAGGGGCATATGAATGTTTAGCATACCTGGCACACAAATACCTTGCAACTCTGGCTACAACAGTGCCATGCAAATGCCTGTTCTCACTTTCAGGTGACACTGTAAATGAGAAGCGGGCAGCAGTATCTCCCATACATGTAAACAAACTTGTTTGTCTTAGCAATTGGCTAAATGAGAAGTAGGACTCAGTGGACTGCTTTAAGGTGAACTGAAATACTATTTCTTTTGTTTATCTTTTTCTACAGTGCAAATATTTGTAATAAAAATAATAATATAAAGTGAGAACTGTACACTTTGTATTCTGTGTTACTGAAATCAATTATTTGAAAATGTAGAAAAACATCCAAAATATTTATAATAAATTTAAATTGCTATTGTAGTATTGTTTAACAATGCATTTAAAACTGTGATTAATTGCAACTATATTTTTTAATCTAGTTAATTTGTTTTGCGTTAATCACTAAAGTTAACTGCGATTAATTAACAACCCTAATAAAAACTAATTACTTTTAACCAAATATTAGGATCAAGACAAAATTTTATTTATTTTGCTTCATAGAAAACTAATCCTAGTAACTGTCTTGTAGGAAGATAAGCCTACATTGAGCCCAAGTGAACTCTGGTCTTAAACTGAGTTTGATATTAGCAAGAGCAATAGGCCCAAAGTATATGACTAAACAGAATTAAATTATGAAAAAGAAGCATTGTTTGTGTTAAATTTGTAGTGACCGTTGAAACCACAGTGTTATTTTATTTCAGATTTGGGTTGAGGTAACCATGTTTTCTTTAAGTGCCCATCCAGTGCTCAGTGTTTGTCTAATAAACTGTTGTTGACTAAAACAGAATATTTCATTTAAATAAATTAATATATACAGTATTTCAGCATTTTAATTTAGTCATAAATTTTTGTTTTTCCCCATTTAGAAATATCATAATGCGAGAACTTGCTCCACAATTTCAAATCCCATGGTCAATACCTTTGGAAGCTGAAGATATCCCTATTGTGCCAACCACATCTGGAACAATGTAAGAGAAAAGTATCTTTAGCTGAATTGTGCAAAGTCCTTACATAACCTTTCTGTGAATTTTCTCTTCTCCCAAGGTATATCAGCTTCAGCTAAGAACATTTGTTTTGTGTGATGAAAACAAGAAGTGAATTGCAATTGATGTTCCAGCAATCGAAGTTTTTTATCCCTAGTCAAGCTGAGTATAGAACAGCAGATTTTCAAGTGCAGTCTGTTCTAAAAATAGCTTGCTTTATTGCTAATCAATATTCTAGTGTCAATTTAACACACATTTTTCATAAACATGCTCTTTTACTAAATAAACCTCAAAAAGGATTTGTTTCAAAAACTATTTAAAATAGATATTCTGTAGTTAGCTAAGTTTTAAAACCAGTATTTATAGTAAATTACATTCTTGCATCATTTTCAGATAACTATGTTCTTGCATATCCTACAATCATTTCAATACTAATATGGGCACCAGGTGCAATAAATAATTGGTTATATATGGTTTGTTTACAAAGAAATACTTAGTCCTGAATTTGGGAAGAAATATGGCAAAAGAAGGAAAGAAGATAACTTTGAAAAGGGAGACCAACCATTAAGTTTGTCTACACCATGCAAAAGCGTAGGGTACAGACCTAAAATGGCCTTCTCTGGCTTTAGCTAAGGTCTTATAACCAGCAATGACATCACTTGTTTATTATAGTGTATAAAAAGGCAAGGATTTTAGGGATTTCTTCGTCAGAGCTTTTCCTAACCCTTCTGGAGTCATGCCACGATGGGAAGGTATCTCCCAAGCAAGATCCTGTTGTGAATATTTGACCAATGTGTGTAACTGTATGGTTGCTAGGATATAAAATGTGTATATGCTTGTATTGGTATTTTGGATATAACCAACAGCAAGTGGACCTTGAACTAATAAAGGAATGCTTGTGTGAAAACTGAGTCGTGGTAAACTTTAATAAACTTATGTTGGAAATAATTTCTCTAATATCTTCTAACCTTTTCATAGTCTTCAGGCATAAATTCTCTATCCCTCTGGAGTATTTCATGGAGCCTTGCTTTAACACGATGCTGGCAGCTGCTTAAAGAGTCACTGTCACTGTCCAACAGACCATTCATATTAGCACTTTTCACCATCTGGACAAGAATAGGAGTGAGCTCTCCTTCTAAAGCCAGTAATCCCTGGAAAGAACAATACAGTTATTCAGAAATGAACAAAGATAAAAATGTAGTAATGCATCTATTTCTAAACCAAGATGTTAATGTAAACTCTACATTATATTGTTCAAATAACTTGCCAGTGTCTCAAATGTTGTGATTACCAAAATTCACTCACTCAATGAAATCTTTATGTAACAACTTACTGTATGTGCGCTCTCACATAAGTTTAGGATACCTGATATAAACCTCTTCTTGGAGAGGGGAATAAGCAATCAAACTTCTGCTACAAGGGGAATGAGTGGAAAACTTAAGCAGGTACAGAGCTTCTGGGCTATGATCAGAGGGCTGGGAAGTTTGTCTGATATGAAGACAGGTAAAGTATTGTGAAAGTTTGGTCAAAAAAGCTTATAATTCTACATGGAAGTTCTGAAGATTGCATTTTTCACAGATTGTGTCTAAAAGTTCACATTGTTCAGGGCTATGGAACAGTTTTTTAAAAATTTTACATCACCACCCTAGAATTTTTACAGCACAACAAAATTACTATATGCATAATTGAACAGCATAATGATTAAGAGCATTTCTTTTGTCAGTTCGCCACCATATCTCACCAGTTAGTAATTATTTTGAGATCAACTAAATGTTAAGATGTTTCTGCTCTAACAATCTTACAAAAGGATATTACTGTAGTAAAAATGTTTATACCATCTTGTAATATCTTATATTAAAAAGAAAATGAAATTATGTTATATTGATTTTACATCTCTGGTGGTATCAAAGCACAAAAGCAATCCAGTCCTCTATGTGTAATTTGCTGTCAGCTGCATGTCACCTATGTAAAGTGAACTTAAGACCTCAGTTCAGTTCCTAAAAGATGTCTATTTCACCCATCATGCCCACAATTTGTCATAGTTTGTTGGAACTTTTAGATAAATAATTAACTGGACATGGAGACTAAAATATCCTTTTCACCCTCAAAAGTGGTCTATTGGAAAGGATTGATGCACACTGCTACGGCTACATAAATAAAAACTTGTACTGCAGCTTCCCATGCTGTATGTCTTCTGATGCTTGGAAGGCTTCAAATGCAAGAGATGTCAATTTGGATCTCCTTTCATGAGCACTAAATGCACTCTAATAAAAAGAAAAGTTGAATTTTTTTTACATAGGCTGCAATAAAACCCTGCATTTCCCCTAACTTGCTAGAGAACACAGACAAGATTCTTGTTGAGAGTTTCAGGTTTCTTTATTGAAAATACAATTTCACACAGTACCTTTGCAAAAGCTGCTGCAGTCATCTGAACTCGTCCCTCATCAGAAGCATAGATTTTCAGATCATGTCGATAAGTACTATGTAATCTAAGCAAACCACATCCAGGAAATCCAGCATAATCTCCTACCAAACAAACAGATATTCTTCTTCAGAGACTCTTTGTATATGTGTGCATGTATTTTATTTTTATGTATATTTAAAAGACTAATTTATACCATATAGTACAAGAAAATTACCTTGTCCACCTGGGTACATGCATCTGAAAGCTCTCCCTAGCTCCTCTGCCTGGACCCTGCCTGCAGGGGTCAGTTCTCCTCCCCATTTCAGAACCAGAAGTAGGGATGGTTCATCTCTTCTGCTATCTAATTATATGCAGACAGATCACTTAAAATAGTGTACCAACAAATGCAAATGTTTATTTAATGACTATTAAAGAATTATCATTAAATTAATATTAAAGTGATACTGGAAGTGATACATTGAGGTTTATGTGCTTCAGGAAAGTGACTTCAGCGTTTGAGTCTCTTGTTATTCTAATAGAGAAATACCCGTCTAGTTCAGTGAAAGCTAACACTTAACTCTGAAGATACCCACAGTTTAGGTACTTTTAAAACAACTGAAACTCGTATTACAGTGAAAACAAAGTAAGTGAAAATAAGCACAAAATAATCAGCAGTCAGGAAATTCACAGGTATTGGATTTTAAATACCTAGGCGTTATTGTATGTTTTAGCCTTTTTTGTATGAAAGGAATAAGAGTACTAGGAGATGTACAGAAAACCTAATTTTTTCTAGAGGACATCATCTTTGGTGAACAGTTTATAAAATTTATTCCCTCCATATTTTTGTTACCTAGGAAGCAATATTAAAATGCAAAGTATATCTTAACCTTACTAATAGAAACTCAGCAGCTTAGAAATTGCTAATCACAGTATATCATCACAAAACAAAACGTTGCTGAATACTTGGCTAGAATACAAGTCCTTGTTTTATTTAAAACCACATTAAACAATTAGCCCCCTACTTATGTTAAGTTCTACATACTATGTAAGAGAGTATGTATTGGTTATACTATACCTTCTTCTTCACTAGAAGTTTTCTGGCAGCCATGAGGGAGATAGGTTAACTGGACTTTGCGATTTATGCCAGAAAAATGCCCATACCTAAAGTGAGGGGAAAAATAAACTGACAGATTTTCCAATATATATTCAATACTATCATACCCCTCTATCAATTAGGGACATCATAATTCTTTGAATCTTACTAACCTGCCCATTTTTGCTGATTTGTCAAATTAAATAAAATATTGAATGAATACTTAAATGGTCATCACCATGTAGCAGCTGCTATATTAAATACTGTCCACTGCTTCTTTTCATCACATTGCCCAAGAAACTTCATGTCTCTCTCACCAGAAATAAACACTCCCATCCATCCACACTCTCCAGCTGCATGATTAATTTCTTCCACTTTGGTACCATACATCCTTATGGCTATCAGTATCCAGATCTGATCTGTCACATACTGATAGCCACTATTTGTTATCCAATGAAGCCCCAAAATGGGATTCATAACACTTCCAAGTGTAACAAGCTTTTATCACAATATATTATAGAGCAAGTTAACTATCTAGAAACAATTATTACTATCTAGTTAATATTTAATATCAATTTCAGCACTAACTGTTAGTTGGACACTGCCATACCTTAAATACATAATGAGATACTAAAAATTATTTAAAGTTTAAAATGAGTTTTCGTACTATGTGTGGGTTACTGAGAACAAGATCTTTCATTCAATTACAACAACTCTTTTTTTGAACTCTCTGTAATACAGGGAGTATTCACACCACAAATTACCATTTGTATTACAGTAGTGCCTACACATGCCAACTGAGGTTAGGACTCTATTGTGTAAGACACTGTACAAACACATAACAAGAGTCAGACACTGCCCCCAAAAGATTATACCGTATATACTCGTTCATAAGCCAAATTTTTTTAGTAAAAAAGGGAAGCTCCAGAGACGGGGAGGGGAGGGTCGGCTTATGAACATGTATAGAGAGGAAGAGGTGGGACACAGCCCCTCCCGCCAACAGAGGGAGCAAGGAGACTCAGCACAGCCAGCAAAGACAGAAGGGAAGAGGCGGGGCCAGAGTCTCTCCACTTCTGTCCACGCTGCTCTTCCCCCAGCCTCCAAAGCAGCTGCAGCTCCAGGGCTGGCAGGCTGCAGCCGTGCCGCTCGGCCCCACCCCCCAGAGCAGGTTGTGGCTGCACCGCCGGGGCATCGGAGCACGCTGCGGTCACGCCACCCGGCCCAGCCCGCTGGAACATGCTGCAGCTGCGCCGCCTGGTCTGGCCCACCAGAGCAGGCTGCGGCCGTGCTACCCAGCTTGCCGGAGCAGCTCCAGCCAGGTCAGAGACATCCTCCACTGGCCCTCCACAGATAAGATGGGAAGGGATGGGATGGGGAGAGTGTGGGGGTCCCGGGCTAGGGGTGGGGTCATGTGGGGGGTGGTCAAAGAGGTTACTCCCCTGACTCCCAGCCTCTCCCCCGCAAAAAATTTTCCCACCAGTTGCTGTCCCGGCCCATCAGGGTAAGCAGCTGGTGCGCCGGGACACTTTGTTTACTTAGGTTTAACTCCATGCCTATGGACGCTCGAGGTAAACAAACCATCTCAGACCACCAGCGGCTTATCCTGATGGCCCGAGAGCCAAAGTTATGGCCCGGGACCACTGAATTATAGGGTTGGCTTATGAACGGGTTATAAAAAATTTCCGTTTTTACTTATCCATCTTGCGGGGGGGGGGGTCGGCTTATAAACGAACCGACTTATGATCAAGTATATACGGTAATTTATATAGACAACATGGATAACAGGATAAGGCAAAGGAAGTATTTTCCCCCATCATACAGATGAGGAACAGGTTAGATTAAGTGATTTGTACACAAGGTCACACAAGAAGTAAAACCAGACCTCTTCACTACCAGTGCAATGTCTTAATCACAAAACCATCCTTCCTCTTAATATATTCAAAAATTCAGATTAGTATTGTTATACATTATATTGTCAGTTGATAAATTAACGTAAGGGAATTAGTTTTGAAAGCTAATGAAATCAAAACAGTTATGCCAGTTCGGGTGTGAGGATTAAAAATTAGATCCTTACATCTCCAAAACAGTCTTCAGCTGCTCAAGTTTTGCTTTGCTTTCTTCAATTTCAGAGTCATTGTTTTGCCCAAGTTCTAGTAAGAGCTGTCTTGCTATATCAAGCACCTCCTAAAAAAACAAAACGAAACCACTATATATAACAAGGAATTCTATTATTCATCAATTATAGAACCAAAAAAAGAAAATCAAGATAGACTTGCCTGTAACTGTTTTGGTTTCTTCAGTTTTAGTTTTCCTGACTTATATCCATCACATTTTTCGAAGAGATCAAAAAATCTTTAGGAGAAAACATACAGATTAAAAGGATATCTAATAAATAGGATAGCTAATACACTTTAAGGCAACAGGAAGATTTTCAATTAAAGCAAAATGAAGAGCTGGGACTAACCTCCCTCATCAATCCCCAATTTGAACACCGCAGAATAATGAGAAAGTTTGTTCTGATATGAACCTCTCTGTTCTATGAGGTCTCATCCCACTAGCACATGCCTTAAACACAACTGCAAAATAAGAAAGCTTTTTCTGTTAGCTTACTAAGACTGAAAAAATACAGGTACTACACAAAAGATATGAAGAATCCTGAGTAAACAGACATATCTCTTCAAAATTTAACAAAAAACCCAATACAACATTATTAGTTATAAAATACTAAACATATGGCTCTGCAGACTTACAGCAAATCTTTCACTTAAAATCTGAGCACAGAATCTAGCCCTCAAATGATATTTTTACTACTGTAACACCTAATCATAGATAAAGGTCCCACTGTGTTAGGTACTGTACAAATGCATAACAAAGAGGGTCCCTTAGCCTCCCAAAATGCTTACACTTCAAGTATAAGGCAAGAGAAAAAAGGTATCAAGAAACAACTCGGTAAGCAATAGTTTATGAAGGCCTTAAAAGCAGAGACTAGTAGTTTGCAATTGATTTAATGGCAAAGGGAGAGCCAGAAAAAGAGCAGAAATTAAGGGGAGATGCAGTCAAAGCAATGAGCCAGGAAAATGATCTTTGAAGCAGCAGTAGACAAACTGCATTGTCAAGGCTGGAGAGGAGATTACAGTTGCTGGAGATGTGAGATGATTGAGGCCTGGGCAAGTGAATTAGCTATGTAGATAGAGATGAAGGGATGCACCTTAGAGATGTTATGCAGGAAGAAGTATTAAGATTTAAATGTTGTTTGTGCATATGCATGTGCAATTCCCACTGAATTGAACCCGCATATCCAAGGCAAGAATTTTGCCTTAAATACCAAACTTAATTTGTCTCTATACTTACGGCAGTGCGTAACAAACAAACTCTGCATGCCCAGCTAGTATAGGGATACATAGCAGTGCAAATGGTGAGGCACTGCTTAGGCTAGTAGAATGCCCGACATACCCGAACCCTAGGGTATATATCCTACTTGGCTCTCTACTCGCCCATGCCGTGCATCCCACATCTACAATACTATTTCTAGCAGTGCAGTGTCCCACTGCTGGAGCTTTTCACCACTGCAATGAAAGACTCCAGAAATAGGGAAAGGTTCTGGCAGGGTGGAGGCAGCAGGAAGAAAGGCTCCAGTAATGAGCCTTTCCCCATTGAAGCCTTTCACTGCTAGGTGTAGCTACACACTGCACTGAATGTGGATGCAGCCTGCATCTCACTGCAGTGGGTGGCTCATGTACCCTACACACTACTGCACGTGTAAATAAGGTTTGTCTTTACCCAAATTCAGACTTACTTCTGATGTTTAACTTCCATTTTCATTTTTTGTTTTGGTGTACGGTCCCCATGACGTATTACAGCTATAACACATCTCAACTCCATCCTGAAATTTTAAAAAAGTCAAGTTACATTTCCCAGTTCTATACACCACTCATGGTTTTTATATTATTAAATGTGTGAGTCAGACAGACAATTATTTAGTCGACAAAAACATACTTGACTAAGTATTGAAATGATTGTAGGATATGCAAGAACATAGTTATCTGAAAATGATGCAAGAATGTAATTTACTATAAATACTGGTTTTAAAACTTAGCTAACTACAGAATATCTATTTTAAATAGTTTTTGAAACAAATCCTTTTTGAGGTTTATTTAGTAAAAGAGAATGTTTATGAAAAATGTGTGTTAAATTGACACTAGAATATTGATTAGCAATAAAGCAAGCTATTTTTAGAACAGACTGCACTTGAAAATCTGCTGTTCTATACTCAGCTTGACTAGGGATAAAAAACTTCGATTGCTGGAACATCAGTTGCAATTCACTTCTTGTTTTCATCACACAAAACAAATGTTCTTAGCTGAAGCTGATATACCTTGGGAGAAGAGAAAATTCACAGAAAGGTTATGTAAGGACTTTGCACAATTCAGCTAAAGATACTTTTCTCTTACATTGTTCCAGATGTAGTTGGCACAATAGGGATATCTTCAGCTTCCAAAGGTATTGACCATGGGATTTGAAATTGTGGAGCAAGTTCTCGCATTATGATATTTCTAAATGGGGAAAAACAAAAATTTATGACTAAATTAAAATGCTGAAATACTGTATATATTAATTTATTTAAATGAAATATTCTGTTTTAGTCAACAACAGTTTATTAGACAAACACTGAGCACTGGATGGGCACTTACAGATGTATTTTTATTTTTCAAATATTTAAGTACTATTATGTTGAACTACTGAAGTCTGGTCACAATAGCTACAAAGAAGACAATCTAACATTATCTGTAAAATGTAGGTATAATAAGTTCTTTTAAGAGCTTCCTGTGATCTACTCTAGTAAGAGTCATGTTAAAATACACCAATTTGAATATATCACTGTTCATACAGGTTTTAATCTGGAGAACTTTAAAGGATGGTGTAATGTATCTTAGGGTATGTCTACACTACGGGATTAATCCGAATTTACAGAATTCGAATTTTGGAAACAGGTTGTATAAAGTCGAATGTATGCGGCCATAATAAGCACATTAATTCGGCGGTGTGCATCCATGTACCGGGGCTAGCATCGATTTCTGGAGCGTTGCACTGTGGGTAGTTATCCCATAGATATCCCATAGTTCCCGCAGTCTCCCCCGCCCATTGGAATTCTGGGTTGAGATCCCAGTGCCTGATGGTGCAAAAAACATTGTCGCAGGTAGTTCTGGGTACAGCCTCACCCCTCCCTCCATGAAAGCAACGGCAGACAACCGTTTCGCGCCTTTTTTCCTGGGTGAACACTGCAGACGCCATACCACGGCAAGCATGGAGCCCGCTCAGCTCAAGACAGCAGTCATGAACATTGTAAACACCTCGCGCATTATCGTGCAGTTTATGCTGAGCCAGGACCAGAAAAATGAGGCAAGGAGGAGGCGGCAACGGCAGCGCAGCGACAAGAGTGATGAGGACATGGACACGGACACAGAATTCTCTCAAACTGCGGGCCCCGGCGCTTTGGAGATCATGTTGTTGATGGGGCAGGTTCTATCCGTGGAACGCCGATTCTGGGCCCGGGAAACAAGCACAGAATGGTGGGACCGCATAGTGTTGCAGGTGTGGGATGATTCCCAGTGGCTGCGAAACTTTCGCATGCGTAAGGGCACTTTCATGGAACTTTGTGACTTGCTTTCCCCTGCCCTGAAGCGCAAGAATACCAAGATGAGAGCAGCCCTTACAGTTGAGAAGTGAGTGGCGATAGCCCTGTGGAAGCTTGCAATGCCAGATAGCTACCGGTCAGTCAGGAATCAATTTGGAGTGGGCAAATCTACTGTGGGGGCTGCTGTCATGCAAGTAGCCAAAGCAATCACTGAGCTGCTGCTACCAAAGGTAGTGACACTGGGAAATGTGCAGGTCATAGTGGATGGCTTTGCTGCAATGGGATTTCCTAACTGTGGTGGGCGATAGATGGAACCCATATCCCTATCTTGGCACCGGAGCACCAGGGTACCCAGTACATAAACTGCAAGGGGTACTTTTCCATGGTGCTGCAAGCACTGGTGGATCACAAGGGACCTTTCACCAACATCAACGTGGGCTGGCCGGGAAGGGTTCATGACGCTCGCGTCTTCAGGAACACTACTCTGTTTAAACCACTGCAGCAAGGGACTTATTTCCCGGACCAGAAAATAACCGTTGGGGATGTTGAAATGCCTATAGTTATCCTTGGGGACCCAACCTACCCCTTAATGCCATGGCTCATGAAACCATATATAGGCAGCCTGGACAGTAGTCAGGAGCTGTTTAACTACAGGCTGAGCAAGTGCCGAATGGTGGTAGAATGTGCATTTGGCCGTTTAAAAGGTTGCTGGCGCACGTTACTGACATGCTCAGACCTCAGCCAAACCAATATCACCATTGTTATTGCTGCTTGCTGTGTGCTCCACAATCTCTGTGAAAGTAAGGGGGAGACCTTTATGGCGGGGTGGGAGGCTGAGGCAAATCGCCTGGCTGCTGATTACGCGCAGCCAGACACCAGGGTGATTAGAAGAGCACACCAGTTTCATGACTGGCCGGGCTACCGTCTGAAAGTTCTGTTTGTTTCTCCTTGATGAAAACCTGCCCCCCTTTATTGACTCATTCTCTGTAAGCAACCCACCCTCCCCCTTTGATCACAGCTTGCTTTCAAAGGAAATAAAGTCACTATCATTTAAAAATCATGTATTCTTTATTAATTGATAATAAAAAGAGGGAGAGAACTGACAAGGTAGCCCGGGTGGGGTTTGGGAGGAGGCTCGGAGGGAAGGAAAAGGCCACTAAAAAAAAGTTAAAATAATGACAGCCTTTTGCTTGGGCTGTCCACTGGGGTGGAATGGGAGGGTGCACGGAGCCTCTCCCCCGCGTTCTTACACGTCTGGGTGAGGAGGCTATGGAACATGGTGAGGGGGGAGGGTGGTTATACAGGGGCTGCAGCGGCAGTCTGCGATCCTGCTGCCATTCCTGAAGCTCCACCAGATGCCGGAGCATGTCTGTTTGCTCACGCAGCAGCCCCAGCATTGCATCCTGCCTCTTTTCATCTTCCTGCCGCCACCTCTCATCTCGAGCTTCTCTCCTCTCCTCACTTTGGTCCCTTCTGTCCTCACGTTGGTCCCTCCTGTCCTCACGTTCACTGGCATCTTTCCTGTACTTTGATACCATGTGCTTCCGCTCATTCAGATGAGCTCTTTCATTGTGGGTAGATTCCATGATTTCCGCGAACATCTCGTCTCGCGTCCTCTTTTTCTGACACCTTATCTGAGATAGCCTTCGGGACGGAGGAGGGAAGCTTGAAAAATTTGCAGCTGCTGGAGGGAGGGAGGGAAAAAAGGGAGAGAAGTATTTAAAAAAGATGCATTTTACAGAACAATGCTTATACTCTTTCACGGTGAACACTATTCACATTACATAGCACATGTGATTTCTGTGCAAGGTCGCATTTCGCATCTTAATATTGAGTGCCTGTAGCTTTGCTGTTAGAGATCACAGATGCAGGTCCGGGCAACAGAATTCGGCTTGCATGCGGCCATGGTAAGCCATTGTCTTTCGCCTTCTGCGCACTCCTTTCCCACATACCAAACAAAGCCCGTTGAGTGCTGCGGTTTTCCTGTTAACCTGCAGCAGCAGAAAACAACCTAACCCCCCAACCCCCAATCCAATTCTCTGGGATGATTGCTTTATCCCTCCCCCCACCGTGTGGCTGGTATCACGGGAGATCCCCGCTACTCACACCAGAAAACCTCAACACCAATACTCCACCCCCGCCCCCCCC